GTTTCCAGAAAGATTTACAGCCTCGGTCACCCTGTATAGGATTGCTGTGAGTCGGGCCTGACTCCCCGGCCTATAACCACCACCACCCATGTATGAATGTGGATTCCTACTGCTGCTGTTATGGGCCATGGAATTGCTTCCAACTCATAGCAACCCTCAATAGGGTTTCCAAGGCTGTAAATCTTTATGGGAGCAGAAAGCCTCATCTTTCTCCCACAGAGTGGCTGGTGGACTAGAACTGCTGGCCTTGTGGTTAGTAGCCTAATGTATATTCCACGATGCTACCAGGACTCCTGTGGACTATCTGTGAGACCAGAAACAACAACCCACTACCATCAAGTCAATTCTAATTCATCAAGGCCCTGGATAGGTTTCCATGACAAGAAATCTTTATTGCAGCAGACAGCCTCATCTTTCTCTTGTGGAGTGACAGGTGTGTTTGAACTGCCAACCTTGCAATGAACAGCTCAACGCTTATACCACAGCACCACTCAGGGCTCCCTTACCTAGCAAAGGAGGCAGCCCAATGTCATATAAAACACCGAGCACAGACGTCTAGAAACCTGAGTGCTAATCCTGCCTCTGCTCTGGCTTTGAAGTGGATCCAGGCACCTATTTCTCCTCGATAAGCCTCAGTTTCTTCATCTGAACAAAGGATGGAGACTGAGCTGTCTGCAAGTTCTATATTCTAAGTGTTCTCCTTGCCTGTCGTCAGCCTACCTGACCCAGTGACCCTGTGAGAGTAAAGGGTGATCAGAGATCATTGGCAATGCCACATCTGGGACCCAAAGCTGTTCCCTGGGGGATCCAGCAGAAACAAACTCCCAACCCACCCATCCACTACTGGCTCAGGGACCACAGTCTTCCTGTTTTCTGCTGCCCCCTGTTGGCCGCTCAAAAACAGATTCCTCAGAAAAGTTTGAAAGGTACCCTCAAGGGATGCCTGCCCTCTGTAGCCCTCACCTCCATAGGCCCCTGCATTCGCCTGACCTCCAGACCTGGTCAGCCAAGACCTGCCTTGAGGTTGGTTGCAAGGTCCTGAAGCCGGTGCAGTGGAACCCCTGGATGGGGACTCCGGGTCAGTCTCTCCCACCTCTGCACTGGGTCAATAGGTGTGAGATGAAGTTGTCCTGGATTCATTCTTTCTATCTTACCGAGCATGTCTGCATCTCGCACCCATTGAACCAGTGCAGAGGTGGGAGAGACTGACCCGGAGTCCCCATCCAAGGGTTTCCACTGCACTGGCTTCCTTCTGGGTCTCATTAATGCACACGCATGGAGTCCTGGTGTGGTGCTGTGGGTTAATGCGCTGGACCTCAAGTTCTGTTTGAACTGCAAGGTCGGTGATTCAAGCTTGCCAGCTAGTTGCTCCTCATAAACCCTATACAGGGTGACTATGGGTTGGAACCAACTTGACAGCACTTAACAAGAACGATGCACACACATAGACAATCACACGGATTTACACAAAAGACACATAAATAGGTAAGACGCATGTCTGACAGGTGGAAATTGCCAGGAATGTCCAAACAAGATGGCTCCAAAAAGACAGTCCACAGACAAGAAGGCTCCAAATGTACAGTCCACAGCACCATGGATAAAACTGAGGGTATGTCAGAGGCTCATCCTTCTTTGTGTCCACCTTTCAAAAGACAGGCGGTTAGAAATGTTGGAGGCAGGTGTGGCTGGGAGAAAGCTGCACAAGGGTAGTGGACCAAAATGTGGTTTGATATTAAGCAACAGGACTTCAAGTAAGAAGGAATCGTTTTAACTTTACATCAAAAATGTCCTCAATGCCCCAGCTTGATGGGGAGAGAGGGGTCTCCAGTCATCTCAGTTCAACACCCCCTCAAGTACTGACATCAGGACACTACCCACCACCACCATGGGTGTCCTGACTCTTGCCCCTCTGTTTTCTCCTGACTTGCAAATGTCCTGGGGCATCAGGAGCGAATGCCACACAGGATGAGACTGAGAGGACTAAGCAAGGGCCGGGGACACATTGGGGCATAATCCTGCCAGGGATCAGCAATCAGGAGACTGCAGATGACTTTCACCATCCCTAAGAGGTGGGCAGCTGGTGAGAATGCTGCACCCAATAGATGGACCACAGAGAGGGGAAGTCTATGGCAGAGTCCCTAACCATCAAAGGATGCATCTTGTGGGCTGTTTATCTGCTTCTGAACCACACCTGAGCCTCTGGCTGTTCCGACATGGTCCAGGTCTCTCTCCCAGAGCAGTGCTGCTGGGGGCAGGTGAGGTTTCCTCTGCTCTCCTCTCCCACTCAGCCTCTCAACTCCAGGGTCTCCAACTCAGGGGAATCTCTCTGGCCTCAGGACACTCCTTTCTTCCAGTTTCTGCAAGTCACTATGTCTTATAATTCCCTTCCTTGAACTTCCTCCAAAACCTTCTCTTCCCTTCTGGGTCTTTCATACCTGGGTGGCCCATTAGACACAGATCTGGACCAACCAAAAGGTAACCCTTCTTGCTACCAAGGAAGGTCCCTAGATGGTGCAAATGTTTTCACTGAACCACCCAGGTGATGCTGCAGAGAGAAGACCTGGCAATCTGTTTTCATTAAGATGACAGTCACAAAAACCCTAAGGAGCAGTTCTTATCTGTAGCACATGAACTTGTCATGATTCAAAATGGGCTCAATGGTGACGTGATTTTAGTTCCACCAAGAGAAAAATAAAACAGTTGCTCTCACACAGATTCCATAGGGATTTCAGTGGCTGATTTTTCTGAAGTAGATTGCCAGACCTTTCTTCTGTGATACCTCTGGTGGACTCAAGCCTCCATCCCTTTTGGTCAGCAGCTGAGCATGTGTATCATTTGTACCACACAGGAATTCCTCCTTTTCCGAGGTGGGAAGGGAAGGGCTTGAACTTCAAACCTTCTAAGGAAGGAAAGAAGCAAAGAAAAAGATAAAGCACTCTCACATTAAAATCTACGCTGCCCCTCTTGATGCCCAGAATAGTTTCTGGTGGCTGCTACGGTTTCGACTCATAGTGAATCTGTATAGGGTTTCCGAGGGGCAGCTGGTGGGTTTGAACTGCTGCCCTTGTGGTTCCCAGTCCAGTGCTGATCCTACAGTGTCCTCTGGTGGTCTGTTGTTGTTAAGTACGGTCAAGTCAGTTCCGACTCATAATAACCCTATGAGCATAGAGCAGCTGGTAAGCTTGAACCGCCAACCTTGTGGTTCAAACCAACCTTGCAGTTCAGTTCTTTATCCCACAGTGCCATACCAGGACTTGTACAAACCTGTGTGTCTGGCTCCGAGTTCTCACCTGCGCCACTATATGTTGTTGTTGTTAAGTGCCATCAAGTCGGTTACAACTCATAGCGACCATGTATAGGGTTTCTGAGGAACACCTGGTGGGTTTGAACTGCTAACCTGTGGTTCACAATTCAGTGCTGATTCTACAACAGCGGACTGGTGGTGGCGGTTATGTGCAGTGGAGTCAGTTCTGACTCATAGCGACCCTGTACAGTGTTTCTGAGGCTGTAAATCTTTACGGGAGAAGAAAGCCTCATCTTTCTCCCATGGAACAGCTGGTAGTTTCGAACTGCTGACCTTGTGGTTCACAGCCCGATTCGTAACCACTATGCTACCAGAACTCCAGTGGCCTAGGGTCATTAAATTGGACCTGCAGAGAAAGTAAAGCAAGCCCAGCACTGTGTGCTGTTCATTAATTCTCAGATTTTATAGTCAACCTATAGACAGAGCACAGAAGACTTAATCTGGGTCCCAGAGCCACAGAGTGAATAGCAGGGATGATGGGAAAGGTAAGATAGAGGAGACCTTCGGGTGGGAGAAGGGAAGGCGACTAAGAAGAGCATCCCTTCCTCCTACAGCGAATGGGAATCAAGATCCCCACTAAAGTCAACAGGATTCCAAAGAGAGTTTTAGGTAGAGTATAAAGTTACAAAAATAACCATACGAAAACCCAAAATAGAACTTGGCAAAATTGGTAGAAGAATCAGTGTAGTCAATCCTCATGTTTTCATTGATGGGAATCCACAGACATGAAGCAAAATCATGTGGAGTCCTTGGGCGGTTAACATGCTTGATTACTAACTGAAAGGTTGGCGGTTCGAGTCTACCCAGAGATGGCTTGGAAGAGAGACCTGGAGATCTACTTCTTGAAAATCAGCCAGGGCACAGTTCTACTCTGACACACATGGGCACACCAAGAGTCAGAGCCGAGTCCACAACAACTAGGTAAGAAACAAACATGGAGAAACAGTGACTCAAACCGACTCTTTGGAGATACAGAAAACTATCAGAAGAGTTTAAAATGAATCATCAAATCAGCTACCTTAATTACTTAATAAGGAGCTCTGGTAGCGTAGTGGTTACAAATTGGGGTGCGAACCTTAAGGTCAGCAGTTAAAAAACTACCAGCTGTTCCATGGGAGAAAGATGAGGCTTTCTGTTCCTGTAAAGATTTACAGCCTTGGAAACCCTGTACAGGGTCGCTATGAGTTAGAACCAACTCCATGGCACATAACAACAACAACAATAATTACTTAATGGGCACATCACTTCTGTTTGGGGCAATTAAAAGTTTTATTGGTAAATAGCAATAAACCTTGTTCAACACAGTGAATGTATGTGACTGATTGTACAATGAAAGATGATTTAAAATGGCAAGTTTTATGTTATCTATATTTTCCCACAATCAAATTTTAACACAAACACCTGCCTCTGGGCTGTGGACCAGGACTGAGAGAGCGATTTTACTTTTAGGCATAAGCTTGTACGTGTCCTTTGATATTTTACCACGGGCATGTATGACTTGGATTTTAAATACATTTTTATAAAGCGACACCAAAATCCTGCTCAATGGAGCCAGTAATGGCCAGACCATCTGCTTGCTACCCAACACAGCTAACCATTGAGCGGGGAACCCTGGCTGGGAGGCCAGAGGGCCAACAGCTGTCACGTGGACTGGGGCAAGGGCAGGCAGCGGCTCCCAGGTCCCCAGCCCACTGCCCTAGCCCAGCATACTCCGACAGCGAAGCCGCTCCTCCTCGCGCTTCTCCTCCATGCGGCTCTCCAGCAGCCTCAGCTCCCTGCGCACCGCCTTCTGCATCGATGGATCCAGCTCCAGTACTTTCTGGAGGTCAGCCTTGGCCTCCGCTTCATTCCACACCTCCGCGTGAGCCCGTGCACGCACGTAGTAGGCCTTCACGATGCCTGTGGGAAGGATAGAGGGCCCTACCTGCTCAGCCCATAGGTAGCCCCCACCTGGCTGGGACTAGGCAGTTTACAAAACACTTAACCCTGGCAGTGATGAGGCTGGCAGAGATTCCATAACCTCTTTGCACTTACGTTTCCTCAACTGTAAAATGGGAAGAATAATAATCAACGTACCTAGCTGCCTACCTTGCATGGACCCTTACAAAATTTCGTAGCTAATTTTACATCCTGATTTCTAATGAACTTTTTTCCTATACAGGCTCTCTAAATTTATGACCTCCAGGCTCTGTATTTTGTCTGTGTGCGGATTTAATGGGCTCATAAATGCAGAGAGCCTGTCTCATTCCAAAACCCACTGCCTGGATCCAGTCAGTTCTGACACATGGCATCCCTCTGTAGGGTTTCCGAGGCTGTGAATCTTGACAGCAGCAGACAGTCTCATCTTTCTCCGTTGGAGTGCCTGATGGGTTTGAACTGCCAATCTTGTGGTTAGCTGTCCAGTGCTTAACCCACAGTGCCACCATAGTTTTATGTACCCGTGAGATGTGGCTGTTGATGCTAATGTACTTTAAGTACCATCTGCTCAAATGTTTCATATCTGCCGGCCACTTATGTTGTTGTTGTTGTTAAGTGCCATCGAGTCGGGTCCGACCCATAGCGACCCTGTACAGGGTTTCCGAGGGTGTAAATCTTTACGGGAGTAGAAAGCCTCATCTTTCTCCCGCGGAGCGGCTGGTAGTTTCGAACCGCTGACCTTAAGGTTCGCAGCCCGATTCGTAACCACTACGCCGGCCACTTATAGCTACTATTTAACGTTGTTCTCTAGTGAATATCCCTTTAAACAACAACAACAAACAACAACCAGACACGCCTGTTGATGGCCCCACAAGGTTGCAAGTTTGGGGAGTTACTTTTGTATGAGTTCTAACTTCTGTTAGAATACAATGTCTCCTAGCTGGAGCTCAGCTCATCAGCCACTTGTAATGAGGGCGGGGTGCACCTTAGGGAAACCCCCCAGGGAGGAGACTGTGTGGCGCCCTGACCCACCTGGGTGGTGCCGTAGGATGTCGCTGGAGTGTTCCAGCACCTGGTAGTACTCCTCCTTCTTCATCAGGCATTGACAGTAGTTAAGGATCAGAGTGTTGATCATCTTTTCCAGCTTCAGCCACTGTACCTCCCACGGCTTCTCCTGCCAAGGGAGGAAAGGTTGGGTGCCCTGGAGGCGCTGCCTGCCTCCCACCCCCACTCCCCATCTCCATCCATTCCCTGACCTTGGTCTGTAGATGCCTCAAGCAGACTATGGCTTCCTGGTACTTGGTGGATGCCTCCTCATAGCGGCCCAGCTTGAAGAGTCGGTTGCCTTCTCCGTGCAGTATGGGTACTGTGGTCATCTTCTCTGAGTTGCTCAGGTTCCATGTCTCCCTCTGGTACTCACTTGGGGCCTCCACCTGGTCCAAGGGGGACAGGTTAGTGAGGCAGGGATAGAGGGGGGCCTGTGGCCTGCATCCCCTTAGGGACTCAAGAACGTGAACTCCAAGCACTTGGTGCTGATGTGAGATTGTAGCAGAATGCTGCTTTCTTGTCAGATACACATAAACAAAGGAAGTAAGTAACATGGTCTCAGGGCCCAACCCTAAATTGATGCCTTTGCAAATTAACAAAGATGGACTCTTCTTCAAGGCACTTTACTTTCAAAATTCAGAAAACTGTCATGAATACTCATTTTTTTAAGAACAAGACTCTTCATTGCCATCTGCTGGAAAACTGTCATTATAAAAATCCAAAATGGTGTGGCACTGTAGGTTAATGCGCTGGACTGCAAAGTCGGTTTGAACCACAAGGTCGATGGTTCAAGCTCTCCAGTCGCTCCTCAGAAACCCTATGCAGGGTCGCTATGGGTCGGAACCAACTTGACAACACTTAACAACAACAATACACATGAAGGAGCTCTGGTAGTGTAGTGGGTTACACGTTGGGCTGCTAACCACAAGGTCAGCTGTTCAAATCCACAGCCACTCCTCAGAAACCCTATACAGGGTCACTATGAGTCAGAACTGACGGAAGGGCACTTCACAACAATACAAGTGGACCTCAACATTCCACCACATAAGGACTACATAGGAATCAAGATGACATCTGTGGAGAGACAATAGAGCAGTTCAGTATCTTCAGTCAAAGCAAGGCCAGGAGTGGAGCCGATCATCTGTTGCTGATCATATGCAAGTTCAAGTTAAAGCTAAGGAAAATTAAAACAAGTCCATGGGAGCCAAAGTAAGACCTTGAGTATGGCTCATCTGAGTTAGAAAGCATCTCAAGAGATTTGGCTCACTGAACACTAATGATCAAAGAACAGACAAGTTGTGGGATGACATCAAAAATGTCATACAGGAAGAAAGTGGAGGCCATTTTAAAAACAGAAAAGACCAAGATGAATAGCAGAAGAGACTCTGAACTTGCTCTTGAACATCGAGTAGATAAAGCAAATGGAAGAGACAAAGTGAGCTGAATAGAAGACAAATGCAAAGGATGACTTGAGAAGACAAAGAATTAGAAAACCAAAAGGGAAGAACACACTCAACATTTCTCAAGCTGAAAGGAAAAGTACGAGCCTCGAGTTGCAATAACCTGGTGTGGCTCTGTAAACGCACTGGACTGCTAATGACAAGGTCAGCAGTTCAAACCCACCAGCTGTTCCTTGGAAACCCTATCGGGGTCGCTTATGAGTGGAAACTAACTTGACAGCACTTACCAACAGCAAACAACCATGGGCAAAATATGAAATGACCCAGGAAGCATCAAAAGATGGAAGGAATACACAAAGTCACTGTACCAACAAGAATTGCTCGACGTTCAGCCATTCCAGGAAGTAGCTTCTGATAAAGAACTCAGTGGCACCTACCAACAACAAATAATGTGAATGAGCCCCTTTGGAGGCGATAAACTTTGTGCAGTGCGCAGACTGCACAACTGTTCATGTAGCTCCTGAGCAGGCCCTTGGCTGACACAGTTCTCATCTCTCACTTATTGGTATTCACCCACATAGCCCTCAGGTTGCGCATCGGCCTTGACTGTGAGCTGAGTCCTCATTTAGACTTGACCTTGGCCCTGATCCTCTTCCTCCTCCCCTCAGACATGGCCTATGTCTGGTTAGAAGGTCAGAAGGTGTAGAGTTCCACTTAGCCTCTCCCTCGAATGGAGACCCAGATCTGAACCCACAGGGACCCGAGATGAGGCTGTAATTCTACACTTCTGGAAACAAAACTGGAAATAGATAACCAATGAAAGTAAAATGCTTCTCAAAGGAAAACAAATCTAATTTTTTTTTTTTTTCTTTTTTAATTGACCCCAAACAGAATTTTGCCTTGGCATGGGCAGAGGCGAGTTACTATGGAATCCCAGTTCTCTTGTTGTGTGCACACCTTTACTCATTCTCTGAAGAGAGCCTGGGCAGTGGCTGGGAGCTGCCGGGATCCCTGGTCCCTTCACTCCATGCCCTCACCCCACCCAGGGCCTCACCTGCAGCAACTCAATCAGGAAGGTCAGGGGCTGCGGTTCCTCCTGCAGTTCATCTAGGTCCTTGTAGCCCAGCGTGTGGTAGGCAAACATGTTGGCCAGTCCGCATGTGTGGACATGCCACTCTGTGGGCTCTTTGCCCTCAGCCATCTGCCGCAGGCTCCGGGATAGGATGGGGTAGACTCCTGTGTGCTGTGGACAGAGAAGAAGGAAGCCTGTAGGCTGTCTGCTCAGAGCTGGCTGGGCAACCAAGAGCCCTCTGTGAGCTGTGTGCCCCTATAACCCTAACATACCCACACTAATAAAAATGCTGTGTTCAGCAAAGTGCCTCTACAAAAGCCTTAAATCCTACAACACCCAGCAAGGGAAGCACTGCTATGTTCCCCCACTTCACAGATGAAGAAGCTGCAGTCCAGAGAGGCTAAGTAACTTGCCTAAGATCACACAGCTGGGAAATGGCCAAGCCGGGATTCAAACCTCTTGCTCTGCATCTTGTGGTCCTTGTGGCTGACTAGATGGCCTCTCCTAAGGAATCCTGGTGTGGCATCGTAGGATAAGCACTCAACCTCAAGATTGGTTTGAACCACAAGGTCGGCAGTTCAAACTCACCCGCCACCCCTTGGAAACCCTGTACAGAGTCTCTATGAGTCGGAGCCCACTATACAGCACTTAACAACAACAAAGGAGACTAAGCTTCACAAAGCCAGTGACTTGCAGGGAGAGCTGTGTGGGGTACTGGAAGGAGGAGGACTCTGGGGTCCCAGAGGCCAGCTTGGCACCCCATGGTGCCTCTGCTGAGGCATGAACCTGGGTCCCCTCAGTTGCATCTGCCTGGTAATAGGTCTGTTATAAGGATTCAAGAAGATGGGATAGACACAGGTCGGGCCCAGCACAGCTTCCTCCAGCCTCTGGACACTGTGGTTCCCACGGCTTCCCCATCTGTGAACTGGGAAACCCCTGAGGGTCTCTGAAAGCCCCCCTCCTTGGGCCTGGGAAAGTAAGTGAAGATTCTGTATTGCCCCAAAGTCACCAGCAAGGGAAGAAGAGAGTCCCTTCCTCACCCTCCTCCTAGTGGCCACCCCCCAAGATTAGCCAGAAATGTCCTTCTGTGTAGCTCTGAGGAAGAGATGGCCAGATGGCAGGTGAGCCCAGCTGGGATTAAGACTGGACAAGTAGGGGTCAACTTGTCTCCTGCCTCTGACACAGTGACCCGGCTCTGCACACCCCTTAATCCCCACCCCACCCAACCCCAGAAAGTCAACTGTGAGCTGTGTTCTCAGGGCCGGGCTTACCCTCACCTATAACAAAGGACCTACCCCTTGTCTAGGGCCTGTCCTATCCTGGTGTCAGCCAGGCCCCTTGTAAGCCCAGGCTGTGGGATGCCTGCAGGAGCCAGGAGAGATTCCAGGGAGGAGGACAAAGGCGGAGAAGGGATGTATAGGTGCATCAGTGGCTCCGGGAGGTATTTGTGTGAGTGTGTGTGTTCATACAATCATGTGGGCTATGGGCTGGGAGGGATTGGGGGCTTTGGGGAAAACCAAGTGCCCCTCTGGTCTAAAGTTACCAGCTTGTGTGGCGGACAATGCATTCATATGCATATTGATGTGGCCAGAGGAACAGGGACACCGACCACAAGAAATAAAGTGGCAAGCCCACATTGCAGGAGCAACAACAGCTTGTGGTTTTGCAAACAACAAATCAATCAACCAATCAAGAATTTATTGACAACCTTCTGTGCATTCTGCTCTCCTCTGCTGGCAAATATTCATCCTACGGAGAAGGGGTGCTTGTTGGCAACCAAGCCTTATCTAACATATGGTCTAAATTGCAGGTACATATGGGTGTCCGTCAGCCATTGAAAATCCTACAGAGTACAGGTCTACTCTGACACACATGGAGTCACAATGAGTCAGAATCCAAGTAATAGCAACATTTTTTTTTTTTTTTTTGGTAGCAGGAGTTTCTCACTATAAGCAAAGTCAGTGGTTCAAGCCCATCAGCCGCTCCTCAGAAACCCTACATAGGGTTGCTATGAGTCAGAACCGACTCGACGGCACTTAACAACAACAACAACAAATATATATATGTATATATTTAAATTGATGAATTTGAGTTATGGCTTTGGAGGATAAGTACCATAAACTGCCAGAAGAATAAATAAATCTGTGTTGGAAGAAGTATAGCCAGAATGTTTCTAAGAAGCCAAGATAGCCAGACTTCATCTCTCATACATGCTTAGTAAAGTGGAGGGTCAGCGAAAAAGAGGAAGACCCTAACTAAATGGATTGGCACAGTGGCAGCAGCAATGGACTCAAGTGTCACAACAATTGTGGTTATGACGCAGGACAGGGCAGCGTTTTATTCTGTTGTGCACAGGGTCACTATGAACCAGAATGAACTTGACGGCACCTAACAACAACACATATATAGAGAAAGAGAGACTCCTGGCGTGACGCTGTGGGCTAATGTGTCAGACTGCAAAGTCCTTTGGACTGCAAGGTCGGTGGTTCAGCTCACCAGCTGCTCCTTGGAAACCCTACACAGGGTCACTATAGATCAGAATTGACTCAACAGCACTTAAAACTATATATGTGTGTGTGTGTGTGTGTGTGTGTGTGTGTGTGTGTGTATGGAGCTCTGGTAGCGTAGTGGTTACGAATCGGGCTGCGAACCTTAAGGTCAGCGGTTCGAAACTACCAACCTCTCTGCGGGAGAAAGATGAGGCTTTCTACTCCCGTAAGGATTTATACCCTCAGAAACCCTGTACAGGGTCGCTAAGTGTCGGAACCGACTCGACGGCACTTAACAACAACAACAAATATATATATATATACACATATAATCCTGGTGTGGTGCTATAAACACTGGATTGGTAACTGTAAGGCCAGTGGTTCAAACCCACCAGCTGGCTCCAACCCACCGGCCACTCATTGCGACCCTGAATAGGCTTTCCAAGGAGCAGTGGGTGGGTTTGAACTGCCAACCTGAGGTTATCAGTCCAGTGCTTATCCTACAACACCACACCAGGACCAATGGGACTGGGGCTACTTTGAGCCATAGGGGTTTTCATCGGCTGATTTTTGGAAGTAGATCACCAGGCCTTTCTTCCTGGTCTGTCTTAGTCTGGAAGCTCCGCTGAAACCTGTTCAACATCACAGCAACATGCAAGCCTCCACTGACAGACAAGTGGTGGATGAGAATGAAGTAGATTAACCAGAAATCAAACCCAGGACGACTTCCTTGTGGAAGGTGAAAAATCTACATGGAACTACTACGGCCTCTCAGATCTAACAACACTACACTAAGAAGAGGACTATGAAGGGGGTAGACCTGCTCCTAAAGAACATGGCAGTGCTCCCAATCCCACCAGGGAGCCAAGGCACCACCCATCCTTTTAGGGACCACTCTTTCTGTTAAACCCACCTTCACAGTCACAATGGCGGGGGCTATGGATTACGGTTTCATTTTCCCCACAGTTTTCCCGAGACAACCCTACAAAGCGGGTGGACCCCTAGAAGGTAGACTTAGGATGGGGCTGGTGGAGCCTACTTACGATGGTATCACACCAGAACTCGGCCACCTCGCTGACCCGCATGGACGTCAGCAGGATCTCCCAGACCTCCAGTTTGAACATGTTCCCTATGATAATATGCATGGGCCAGCCTGTCTGCTTGCTGTCATCTAACACCGTCCGCTCCTGGTCGCATTTTGTGGTTCGGAAGTGAAAGGTCACCTGGTCATCAAGAGAGTAGACCCTGTTCTAGACACACCTCCTTGGGTCCAGCAGAAACCACCTCCTTCCATGTTATGTTACAGGTTCCCAGAGCTGTCCCCAACATCCCCAGCTCCAATCACATGCCTCGGCCCCTGGGACAGCCCCAGGACAAAGAGCCCACTCCCTCCTAAAGGACCCCATGTCGCCCTCAACACCTCCAAGTGTCAGGATCCCCACCCTTAAATAAGTCCTGAGGCCACCACTACACGATCAGGAGCCTGCCTTCTCTAGAAACTTCCCAGAGGCCTCTCCTGTTGCTCCACCCAAACCCAAACCAAACCCATTCATAGGGACCCTATAGGACAGAGTAGGGCTGCTCCCTGGGGATTCTGAGACCGTAAATCAGCTTTCTCCCTCAGAATGGCTGTTAGGTTAGAACCACTGACCTTGGTCCAAAGCATACCCCACTGCATGGCCAGGGCCCCTCCCTCACCCCACACTACAGTTGAATCTGAAAAACACCTAGACGGTTCATGAGTGGGCACCAACTCAGAAGTGCCTGGCTGATTTTTGGCAAAACTGAGCAGCTGTTTGTGGTGCCGGTAGCATGTCTGGGAGAGGCCACGTGGGGCCCCTCTGATCAGGCCCACCCTGGTCCTGCCCCACTTACTCGGGACCCGGTGACAAGATTTGGAAGGTCCCCTGTGCCCCCATGCAGAATGGTCTTCTTTATCCCCTCCACAGTCAGGAGCAGAGAGCGGTCCATGCTGTTCTGGGCCAGCCCTCAGCAGAGATAATCTCCCCAGAGGTTCTAGGCTGGCTGAAACCAGCAGGGATTTGCCTTGTAGATCCGGGGTGAGGGGTGTTGGGGGAAGGGGTGGTTCCAATGTGATGACTCCCTAAGCAGTCCAGTTGTTTCCCCACACTGTGTGATGTGATGGGAAGGCAACCCCCACCTCCCCGCCCCACCATCCATTATAATCTCAGGCTGTGATTTTGTCCCTCCCCAAGAAGGAAGCTTAGAAAGGCTTTCTTAGGAGAGTGAGGAGAGAGGAAGCCACCTGAGCACCGCCAACAGAGAGAGGAGGGAGGGCTGCAGGTCCTTTGCTGGGCCCAAAATTGAAGCCCTTTCCAAGTTCTGCCCACAACAGGCTGTGGAAGTGGGGTCAGGTTTCTGACCTAGGAGGTCCTAAAACGGAGCAAGAGATGAGGGACAGGACCTGGGAACATTAAGCGGTCCTTCCCAGCCCTATTTGTGTCTCCCCCACAAGATCTGGCTGTGGAGTGTGGGGCCCTCCTCTCCCCTCTGGGCCCTGGGACCCAAACCCCAAACAAACCACTGTCACTGAGTCTATTCAACTCCTAAGTGCCCGGTACCACTGGGTCCCCAAGGTGGTAAAGCTTCACAGAGGCAGATTTGCCCCATCTTTCTCCCGCAGAGCAGCTGGTAGATTCAAACCACCAACCTTTCTTGTTGTTGTTGTTGTTGTTGTTGCTATGTGCCATGGAGTTGGTTCTGACTCATAGCCACCCTGTACAGGGTTTCCGAGGCTGTAAATCTTTACGGGAGCAGAAAACCTCATCTTTCTCCCATGGAACAGCTGATAGTTTCAAACTGCTGACCCTGAGGTTAGCAGCCCGATTCGTAACCACAACGCTACCAGAGGTCCCTTGCACATGCTTAATTCATAGCTCCACTTTTTGTTAGAAAATGTTGTCAAGTCAGTTCCGACTTATAGTGACCCTGTATAGGGTTCCCAAGGCGTGGCTGGTGAGTTTGAACCCCCACCCTTGCAGTGCTGTATCCTACAACACCACACCGGGACTCCACAGGACCATTGGGCTCCTTAAATGGATTATAAACCAAATCAAACCCACAGCCCTTGTTGTTGTTACTGTTAAGTGTCGTCGAGTCGATTCCAACCTGTAGCGACCCTATATAGGGTTTCCAAGGAGCAGCTGGTGAGCTTGAACCACCAACCTTGCAGTTCAAACAACTTTGCAGTCTGACACATTAGCCCACAGCGCCACACCACAGCCATTGAGTTGATTCGAGTTCATAGGAATCCTATAGGACAGAGTAGAACTGCCACATAGGGGTTCCAGAGTTTTAAATCTTTACAGAAATAGACAAACTCATCTTTCTCCCACAAAATGGCTGTTGAGTTTGAACCGATAACCTTGAGGTTGGTAGCCCAAACCACCTAATCCATGATGCCACCAAGGCTTCTTCTCTGAGACTCGTTGTTGTTAAGTACCATCAGTAGGTTCCAACTCACGGTGACCCTAGAGAAGGCTTACAAGGAGCAGCTGATGGGTTCGAACTTCCCACCTCGAGCTGATCCTACAGAGCCACACCAGGAGTCCCTCCTAATCTCAGGCCTTCCAGGCCCTCGGGTCTAAAGGTGCAGAGCAACATGAAGACTTGGTGTTTGGCGCCACCTTGTGGCTATCACAGATTCTTATGCCTTGGCTCCCTGGAGTCCTGAGGGAGTGCAAAAGCCAGTGAAGGGACTGGAGTCCGGAACTGGTAGACCTAAGCTGAGAGGGTTCATCCCCATTCAAGGGCCCTGTATCCTTGAGTGTCTCCCACCCTTTGTAACCCCATTTCCCCATCTGTGAGATGTAAACCTGACCTCTCCTACCTCCGTTTGCTAGCAGCCCCTACAGGGCAGTGGTTAATTACTCCCCTGCTAACTGAAAGTTCTGTGGTTTGAACCTGCCAGCCACCCTGCTAGAGAAAGATATGACAGTTGGCTTCGGTGAGGATCACAAGTTTGGAGACCCTGTGGGGCAGTTCTTTTCTGTCCTATAAGGTCACTGTGAGTGAGGATTGACTTGGTGGCAAATTTGGTTTTTTCCATTTGTTTGTTTGCTTGTCTGTTTAGCCCTTTTACAGGAATTTGTGAGAACTCTCTGAGGCAGAGAGTGGGACCCCAGAACCCAGCACTTTTGAAAGTACTGGCAGAGTCATTGGCATAGAGGAGGCCAAGACACTGGCCTGGACCGAGGGAGTCACACCAGGAAGCCCTCCAGGAGTGCTCAGTCCCTGGGACCCAGCCTTCTTCCTTGTATGGGAGCTCCTCTCTTCCACCTTTTAGCAACTTAGACAGCTGTCTGTATGCACAGCAGGTGAAATGAATACAAAGGCAAATAAGATTGATTACCATAAAAGTCAGGATGGGGTTGCCACTGGGGGAGGGAGAACTGAAACGTTCTGCCCTTTGGCCTGGGATGATTGCATAAAGGTGTTTGCTTTCTTAGTAGTCTGTATACTATATTCAGCAAGGAACCCTGATGCTGCAGTGAGTGGGCCAAGTATTTGGGTTACTAACCACATGGTTGGAAGTTTGAATCCACCAGCCATCCCTTGGGAGAAAGAGGAGGTTTGCAGAGATTTGCCGCCTTGAAAACCCTGTAGAGTGTTGCTACTGTGTTCTGTAGGTCATCATGAGTCCGAATCAACTCGATGGCAGTGGATTTGGTTCTGGTATGGGTTCTGCCTTTTTTGATGAGTAATATAAATTCACAGTAGAAGAAAAGGGGCTCTCAAGGCTATCAAGGGCTTCCCATTGCCTTGGAGTCGACTCCAACTCTTAGTGACCCCATAGGATAGAGTCGCTGCCAAAGCTTTCTTTTTTATGGAAGCAAACTGCCACCTCGTTCTCCCTCAGAGCAGCTGGTGGGTTTGAACTGCTGACCCTTCGGTTAGCAGTCCAGTACTTAACCACAGCACCGCCCACCAGGGCTGCTCTTCCCATGGTGGTGGTGGTGGTTGTTAAGTGCCATTGAGTCAGAACCGACTCTATATAGAGTTTCTGAGGAGCGGCTGGAGGGTTTGAACCACCTACTTTGTGGTTAGCTATCCAGTGCTTATCCCACAGCACCACACCAGAGTAGAAGGGTCAGAAGGCACATTCAGATTACAGAGACACTTGGGAGGTAAAACTGGGAAGGTTTGGCCCTTGTTGTCTGTGAGGCGGGGAACAAAGCGAGGGGCAGAATGTGGCTCCACAGCCTCTAGACTGACCCCAGTAACACTTGAGCTCCAACCCCTCAGGCTCCTCCCAGATCTTATTAAAATGCAACTCTAGTAAATCATTCTTCATAACATTTATCAAAGGCTTTCCATTGCTTAGGGGATAGATTCTAAACCCCTTCCTCCCCTATGGAGACCCCCAGACTCATGCCTCACCTGTTGCCCTTTTCTAGGCCCTGCCCTCTGGATTTTGCTCAGCCAGGTTCAACGTCTCTGCATCCTAGAATTTAGCGATGTTCCCCTTGCCAATCTCCCTATCTGAAAACATCCCCCTCTAACTAACTTCTTACTGCATAGCCAGGGAAGCCTGCCCTGACCCACAGCTGCCCCAGGTGAGGCTCTCTGCCCCCCTCCCCTCATGGCCCCTAGCATTTCACATGCAAAGCTCTTTGCACACTAGTACTTGCTTGTAATCATTTGTTGGCTGTCTGCCTCTTCCATAGGACTGACAGTTCCATGGCATCGAGGAAAACCGTGAACACTTTGCTGATTGACAGGGAGCCACCAGGGGCAGGGCAGGACTAGTGAGCCTTCTCCTCTTCTTCCATCTCTCTCCCCAACAGATGAGGAAAGAGCTGGACCCCAGGAACATCTCTGCTCTGAGCAATGGACAGAGCTGGAAACTTAGCACCTCCCCCTCAACCATGATCCTCTCCCTCCCCAGTTCCTGGCTCCAATAATGCCAAGCTAGGCAAGAGGGAAACCTCATTCAGAATATAGTTTCTTCCCCTTTCTCTGGTTTCCATGGAGACAGCTGGTTGTTAATCTGGCCTTCCAGTTATGCTTCTGACAGAGGAAAGAGGATGTATGTAATGCTCCAGGTGGGGGGCCTCTTTCACGCACTGAATTATTCTGGATATTTAATGAGGCAACTCCATGGTAGCACAAATGATGGTTCGAATCCACTCAGCAGTGGCAAGGGAGCAAGACCTATCTGCTTCTATAGTGAATACAACCAAGAAAAACAAAATAGAGCCCAGTTCTTTTCTGACCCACATGGAGTTACCATGCATCAAAATTGACTCGAAAATAATGGAATTGACTTGAAGATCTAAGGGTTTTTGTTGTTGTTTATGTAATGAGACTGATCTAAGGTTTGAAATATAGATTTTGGAGTCAAACGGTCTGGAGTGTTCAGTTCCAGCTTTGATATTTACTAGTTAGCTGGTTATACAGTCTTCCCATTGACATCGAGCCAATTCCAATCCACCACTTGTTATGAGCCATCAAGCCAGTTTAGACTCATAACAACCCTGTATAGGGTTTCTGAGGAGCAGCTGATGGGTTTGAACTGCCGACCTTGTGGTTCGCAGTCTAATGCCAATCCTACAGCGCCACATAGGACTCTAGTTCCAACTCATAGTGACCCTTTAAAACAGAAGAGAACTGTCCCATAATGAGTTAGTACAGACTCAGCGGAACCTAACAACAACATAGCCAGTTTCCAAGGTTGTAATCTTTATGGGAGCTGACATCTATATCTTTCTCCTGTAGAGTGACTGGTGGATTTGAACTGGCCGACCTTCTTGGTAACACTTAAGCACTTAACCACTGCTCCGTTAGGGTTCTTCCTGTACAATCTTAGGCAAGATATTTCACCTTTCTGAATCTCAGTTTTCTCATCTGTAAAATGGGAATAATAGTAATGACTTCACAGAGTTGCCGTGAGAATTACAGGAGAAGAAAGAAACTGCAGTCCTGCTGTGGAGCTGAGGGTTAGGGCGCAAGGTCGGCGGTTCAAGCTCACCAACCACTCCTTGGAAATACTATACAGGGTCGCTACACAGGGTCACTATACAGGGTGGCTATACAGGGTCGCTATGACACTTAACAACAACAAAGAAAGTGAATGCACTCAGCATGGTACCTGGCAAGGGTTGGGAAAATGTAAGCTATCGTTGATGCTTTTGGTGTGGCACTACTGGATCAGCACTGGACTGCAAACCACAAAGTCAGTGGTTCAAATCCACCAACTGCTCCTTGGAAACCCTATACTGGGTCGCTATGAGTTGGAACCAACTTGGAGGCACTTAACAACAATGATATGCCAGTGAGGCCATGGTAGAATTCTTATCCTTCCATGTAGAGATCTGCATTCAATTCCTAACCAATGCACCTCATGCAGACCCACCAACCCTCTGTCAGTGGAAGCCTGCATGTTGCTATGCTGCTGAACAGGTTACAGCAGGACTTCCAGACTATGACAGATGAGGAAGAAAGGCCTGGCAAACTACTTCTGAAAATCAGTCAGTGAAAACCTAATGGATCACAAAGTTCTGATTTGCAATCAGTCATGGAAGTGGCATGAAAGCAGACAGCATTTCCTTCCATTGTGCATGTAGTCACCTGAATGGCAACTAACAGCAATGATTTAGCAAGCTCTGTGATAGGCTTTGGTGATACTATTGTGACAAGACAATCTAATCTGGGAGATTTTGTTTCTAAACGTTGCACTTTCACTGAGTTTTCAGTACACTTAGAAGTTGGTTTTCATAAAAACAACTCTTCCTGTCTTCCTTCATTGGTAAATGACCTAAATTAAATTCCCAGATTACAATCACAAATTTATAATTGGCATAAACAGGTTTGATAGTGCATTGTTGGTGATCACTGTGGCATAGTTTCCAGCATCAAAGCAACATGAAAGCACAACAGTGCGACAAACTGACAGGTGGTGGTGAAAATACACTACAGGATAAGCCTGCTGCTGTCCAGTGATTTCAGCTCCTGGTGACCCACGTGCTACAGAGTAAAACGTCTCCATAGGGTATTCTTGGCTACAATCTTCACAAAGGCAGATCACCAGGACTTTCTTCCTCTAAGGGACTTAATCGGAAGGCAAGGAGATAGATCCTGGATCTGTCCACTCGCCCAAGAAATGTTTTCTTGGGGGCAGAGGGTGGGTAGCGAGTTTGGGGGAACAGAAAAGGGCAGTACCTTTTCTCAGTATGGAAGAGGGTCATGAGGGACATTTGAGGCAAAAACTTCACTGGAACCCAGGGCTCTGAACCTCCAGCCCTGGTTCTTTCGGACAAGCCACTAAGCAAGAAAGCAAGCCAGACCTCCTGAGCAGAATGGGAGATCCATAAACCAGAGAAGACAGAAGCACGGACTGAGAGGCCGGAGCTCCAGGCCACCGGACCCTGGGTCTTCTCTGTGTCTGCCTGAACCCCTGACCCCTTCAGATTCCAGGAACACAGTCCCCAGTCTCAGATCTGGACTGGGGTGACGCAGCCGGTGCTGAATGTCCAGGAGGTGGCGCGGGGGCTGGGCGAGAGGGACAGAAGAGTCTGGCCGCGATGGGGCGGGATGAGCAGATACAAAGCAGAGGAAGCGCGGAGCGCCACACCTAGAACGGGGTCTTGAGAAATGCATGGGCAAGACAGGGCCAATCCGACCGCAAGATTTACAATCACGAGAGGAAAAAGCCAATCGAAATTCCCGGCACGGCCGCTGGTCGGAGACGAGACCAATCAGAGGTGAGGACGGGATCCAGGGGCGTGGCCCCGCGGAGTTTCAAAATCTGCCGGGGTCGCAGATCGAAATCTGCGCAGAGTGTCTGGTCAGCATCTGGCTGTTTGGTGAGTGCGGGCCGGTTTAGGGGGGGTTTCAATCCACAGGAACTGTGTTCGGGGTGCCAGCAGGTGGAAGGCCTGGGTGTTGGAAACGTCCGGCCGCGAAGGGCACGTCCGGTTAGCCTGGGACTTGGGTCAGTCGGCGCGATTGTCCTCCGACTCAGCGAGAACCGGGCCTGACCCTAGGTCCTCCTCTCCTGAGGCAGAGCGCGGGACACCAGCAAATGCTGACCGTCCTTGTTCCACCTCTGTCCTTTTCTGGGCTTTGCTGACTCCTCTTCCAAAAAGGAGGGGCCCTCGGTGGTGCAGTGGGTTAAACATTGCACTGCAGCCTCTCTTCGGGAGAAAGATGAGGCTGTCCGCTTCTGTAAAAATTTAGTCCCAGAAACCCAAAGGAGCGGTTCTACTCTGTCTTATAGGGTCGCTGTAAGTTGGAATCTACTCGGTAGCAGTGAGTTTCTTCCAAGAAGCCACCGCCATCCCGCACCACCTAGCCTGGGCCATTTTCTCCTGCCCCCGCCTCCCCAATCCCTCCATGGGCCTCCATCCAATCTGTTCCCTGTGCCCAGCTGACCTGCCCACTGCCCTTCTCCCCAGGGTCAGGTGATCAGCACAGACAGTCACCAGGCAGATGGTCTCTCGGTGGCAGGGCGTGGGGGCCTACAAGCGCCGCAGATCTCTAGAGGACCAGGAGCAGCTGGAGGAGAGCGACCTCACGCAGCCTACAACTGGCCATCTTGGGAGCTCCAGCAGCGCCCTGGGCTCGCTGCGCAGACAGTTCCAAAAGAGGCTGCCCCTGAGAACCGTCAGCCTCAACCTCGGGGCAGGCCCCTCCTGGAAACGCCTGGAAAACCCAGAGCCAGGGCAGCAGGGCGTCCAGGCTGCGGCGCGCTCAGCTAAGAATGCCTTCGGTGCCATGTCCCAGGTAATATTAATTGACCATACTCAGTATCCATTTAGGGAGGGCTTTATGAATTTCCGGATGACACAGTTGGTTAATGCAACCAGCTGCTAACCAAAAGTTAGAAATTTGAGTCTGTCCGGAGCTACCTCAGAAGAAAGGCCTGATCTACTGAAAACCTTGTGGAGCACAGTTCGACTGTGACACACATGGGTCTTCATAAGTCAGTACTGAATTAGTGGCAAATGGTTTTCTTTGATGGCTAACAGTGTCTGTCCTCGAGCAGCCCACAGAAAAATAGATTCCATAGAGACAGAGTCTTTAATTTGTCCACTGTTCTTACTGTAGCACACAAATAGTGACTGGTACTCAGCAAATAGTTGTTGAAGGGGTGAAGGAAAGCAGTGCCGTAAAGAAAACAGATCCTTAAGATCCAAGGTGATAAAAGCTGGGTTGTCAAGGGAATGACAAGTTGGTGGCTATGGGAGCACCAGACAACACAGGCATAGTCACCGAAGGCTCCAGGGAGATTGCTCAGGAAAGGAGAAGTCCAGTGGTGGTCATCAAGCCAGCTCCCAATTCATGGCAACCCATGAGCAATAGGATCAAGCCATTGTGATCCATCTGTTTTCATTGGCTGCTTTTTCAGTAGCTCACCAGGTCTTTCCTCCTAGTGTGTTTCAGTGTGAAAGCTCCGCTGAAACCTGTTCAGCATCGTAGCAGCACACAAACCTGTGCTGGCAGATAAGAGATACATTGGGAATCAAAGCAGTTTTCCTGCATGGAAGCTGGAGGATTCTACCACTGAAGTGTGTTTAAGGCTGGTGAAATAGCCTAAGTCCAGACCCAGAGCTGAGGGAGAGCAAGAGAACTGGCAGGCATTTGTCTGGGTCAGGTCAGAGGCTGGGGAGGTGGGGGGAAATGACGGTTTATTGGTAGAATCCTCACCTTCCACTCAGGAGGCCCTGTTCTGTTCATGGCAACTACCACCTGTCTGCTATGAAGCTGAACCAGTTTCAGTGGAGTATTCAGGCTTAGACAGACGAGGAAGAAAGGAAGTTTACAGGACTGGGTAGTGTGTGTCCCACTATGCGTGGGGTGGTCACCGTGTCTGTACAGATAACATGTAGGGCAGGGTGGGGATGTGGTCAGATTAGCATGTTGGAACATGATCTGTAGCTACTAGATACCAAAGGACTTAGAGGCAGATTCATCCCTGAGGAAGGGCATGGATCTTGAAAGGAATGGACAATTTCTAGAGCTATTTGAGAGGATTCAGTATCAGATGAAATGTGTGAGCAAGAGAACACCATGCCTGTTGGGTCTGGGCTGCCCACCAGCCGTCCAAGTGCACATGTCTTCAGACCTGAAGCAGGAAAGATCAGGAATTATCACCGAAAGGGACAGAAGCCAGGAACGTAACCATTCCTGCCAAGGAAAGAATGAGGGTGAGGGATGAGAGAATGAGGCTTTCTCCTTAGTGTGTAATTGGGAATCTGAACATCTCTGGGGAGATCCAGAGGGTGGCTATTTCTGAACCCTTTGCAGAAAGTCCTTTGTCTGGACAAGTCCTGTGATTTCATCACACCCAGAGATCAAAGAAATGAAATGAGCTGACCTGCCCATGGTGGTATAATTCATCCCATTTAATTGTCTAGCTTTAACCTTGAGACTCTGGTTTGCCAAGGCAAAGTTAGCTGAGCTAATGAAGAGTCTTCTGCTCTCACATCCTCCCACTGAGCTGCTGAGACAGTTTGGAACAATAGTCCCAAAAGCTAGAGTTTCATCCTATGGGCAATGAGAAGGATTTTTGAGTGTCATGATCAGAAGTATCCTGGAGAGGATCTCTTTGTGGACCCGTGTGGATGGCAGATGCTCGAGGCAGAAGACCTGGTCTACCCCATGAGCCTCTGGGTCCAACTGTGTCCGCGAAAGAGAGTTTGGACTTCAATGAGCAGAGAGTCTGTGATCCAGAGCAGTCCTCCTGCTGCTGACCATGGAATGGACCCATTTTGCATGGAGTCATCCCTAGCCCTCACCCTTAAGACCAAAAGCAGCCCGCACTGGTGGGACCAATGGTGGTCCCAGAGGTTGGCGGTATGGCCTGGGGACTGTGGAGAGTTCACTCTTGGCTTTGTGCTAACCTTTCCATGTATCTGCCACAGAGAATCCAAGAGTCCTGCCAAAATGGCTCCAAGTGGTTGGTGGACACTCAGGTAAAAGCTAGAAGGAAGAGAGGGGCACCGAAGGGCAGTGGTCCTCCAGCTCGTAGCCTGAGCCAGAAGAGCACCCGGCCACCTGGAGCCAGCCCTGCCTACTCAGCCCTAGACCCCTGGGAGGCAGAGCAGCACAGTTTCTCGAGCCAGAGGACGCCACGGGCCCACCTGCGACAGCGGTCCAGGAGGGAGGCTGTCTTGAGGAGCCCCTATTCCTCAACAGAGCCCCTCTGCTCCCCCAGGCAAGTAGGATAATGCCTCACTGCTGGGCTTCTGGTCTCTGAGTCCAGGCACAATTTCTCTCCCTTGACCCCCAAACAGTAACTGGGTCCAAGGAGCTTCTAAGCATCTCTAGGGGCTACTTGGAGCCAGGGGCACCCTTGTCTGGTCCAGCTCTGCCCACTCCTGGGGGGTCTTAGGGAATCCGTCAGGGCCTCAGTTCCCTTATCTGTGAAGGGAAGCAGTGAGCTTAGTTCTCACTGTATCACTTTCAACCCAAGCCTCTTTGTTGTTGTTGTTGTGTGCCGTGGAGTTGGTTCCGACTTATAGCGACCCTGTACAGGGTTTCCGAGGCTGTAAATCTTTACGGGAGCAGAAAGCTTCATCTTTCTCCTGCGGAACAGCTGGTAGTTTCGAACTGCTCACCTTGTGGGTCGCAACCCAATTCATAACCACTACGCTACCAGAGCTCCTTTCTGGCCCCCAAAACAAGCTTTAAGTCATCTGGAGGAATTCCACCTAGGTTGTGGTGCAGCCATTAAGCGCATGGCTGGCTGCTAACTGTAAGGTCAGCGGTTCAAAGCCACCAGTCACTCCGAGAAAGCACGGTGTGGCATTCAGCTTCCATAAGGACTTAGAGCCTTGGAAACCCTCTGGGGCATTTCTACTCTGTCTTAAAGGGTCGCTATGAGTTGGACTCGACTTAACGGCAATGAGTCTGGGTTTTGGGTTAAGGCTTGATTTCCAAGTGGGAGCAGCAGTGCTCACCTCCCCATGACCTTGGCCTTATGGGCTGTGATCTCTGTTCTCCGCCAGGTGCTCAAAGGTTCTCTATTACATCCTGAACTGAGGGTGAGGCGGGAAGGGGTCATCTCCCAGACCCAGTGCTATGTTGGGGAGCAGGGAGGTTTCCCACTGGTCACTGGTATGGCTTTTCCTATTGTCCAGTGAGTCTGACAGTGACGTGGAGCCGGTGGGGGTGGGAATCCAGTGTCTCCAGAAGCTGTCTCACAAGTTACATGAAGTCATTGTGGCTGAAGACAGGTGAGTTGGCATCCCATGCGCCAAAGTGAAGTTGCCATTTGAGCCACGCCCTCTTTCTAGGTAGATTGTGGCTTTGATCCACTGTGTGACCCCGGATATTCACTGACCCTCTCTGAGCCTTGGTCTCATCTATAACATGAGAAGGGATGAGAGGCCTACATTGTGGTGTGAGGGGCATGCCCTGGATGTGTGTAGCACTCTGAACCCTGGACCCCACATTTGTCTACCACCCAGAATCTTCTTACATGTGGTCAGGTGCCTGGTTCCTGAACTATCTGCCCTTCCTCCAACATCCTTGATGGCTCCCATGCTCTGCCTGCCCATGGAATTGGGAAAAGCTACATAGCAGCTATGGAGATCCCTATCCTGAGAGCATGGCCTGGGTTCTGGATTGGAGCTATTTCCCTGTTTGCTTAATGGCCGTGTTGAATCTTAGGCAGGAGTGTGCCAGCTCATGCCTTTGAGTGGGCCTTGTTCCCACCAAGCTTCCGGGTCTGGTCTGTGTCTAGTCCAGGCTAGGAATTCCCCTAAGAGCCGCCAACACCCAGTGACACCCGCCCCTCCCCTTCTCCTCTAGTGGCGACATGACCGTTTCTCTCATTCGGGACTGAGGACCATGTCCTGCAGGTAATGGTCTCCCCGAGGCACCTCTCTGTGTGCCTTCCTCTTGGACATACATGAGCATGCATACTTGGAGGCATGTTAAAAACATGAGTCTCTTCTGGAAAACCCAGAGCACAGGGGGATGTTGGCAAGTCTCCCGATTTGCTTGGGGCTAGAGTTGCTAGCCTCACTCATACTATCACTAGCGACAGATCCCTAAGTCACCTCCCAACCCCCTGTTTTTGGAGGGAAGGATACAATGTCCCCAGTTCCCTTACCCTGAGCACAGAGAGGGGTATAATGGGAGTATTGTCTTGCAGGAAACAAGCCATATCTAACCACCATGCCCTCGCAATCCAGGATGTCTGTGCTACCCCGTGGTTTTCCTGGAGGAATCCCCCAGGACTCGTCAGTATCCCCTAAGCCACTGTTAGCAAGGACTTGGCTGCTCGCATGCTCGACCACAGCTGGCCCCATCAGTGTCCACAGCTGGAGAGTAGCTTGGGCCGTCTTGGAAAGGTAGAGGAAGTGTCGTTCTGCAACCCCAGGGGATTCTGGGGGAAGATGCTCACCCCACGCTGGAGCCTTCAGTGTGTAGTGTAGGCACTGGGAGTTTTATGAAAGCTCCAAGCTAGGGGTCCTGAGGGGGATCTGCAGAAAGCCATCCAAACCTTCAGTCATCCCCCTGAGTTTACAGGGCTGAGGCTCCTGGAAACCCCACTTCCATTCCTGCTTCCCTCACCAAAGCCCCAGAAGAAGGGGTAGAAGAGGTTTCCAGCTTGAAGACCCCGGCCTTATGGTCCTCTATCTACTTATCCATCCCAGGATGCTGCGGGTGTGCAGGGAGGGCACAACACTCTTCAGGAGCAATTTTTGTTCTTTGTAAATTGTTTCAGAAATCTGCTTTGTACTGTACTTAGAAAGAACCCAGTGTGTAACATTCCTGGAGCATTGCTTTTCATAATAAAATCAGTCTCACTGCCTTTGCGATCTCTTCCCTTTCACTGCCATCCTCCACGCTACTCTGGATATAGATTTGAGGTTTAGGACCAGCTTTGTTCTCCCATCCACCTCTCTTCTCAGGCCATCTACTCATAGCCCCGGTGGGAGGTGGGAGGGGAGAGACACTGGTGGTGGTGGTGGCTGTGTGCCATGGAGTTGGTTCTGACGCATAGAGATCCTGTATAGGGTTTCTGAGGCTGTAAATCTTTACGGGAGCAGAACTGTTTCTCCGTGCAGAATGGTTGGTAGCTTTGAACGGCTGGCCTTGGAGTTAGCAGACTGACTCATAACCACTACACTGCCAGAAAGGTGAGTTTTAAAATTTTTTTTGGGGGGTGGGGGGTGTTGTTTTAGCACTGGTCCGAACAAACCACACATATTAAAGGCAAATAAGGTTTTTATTTAAGTGACAACATTTGAGAGTTAAAAACCAGCTCACAGCAAAATCAAGACCAATTGTAAAAATCTTATAACTCCATGGTGGTTTGTTTGTTAATTTTTTTAGAAATCTGATATCTGACCTTGTCTTTTCTAATGGATTTTGTACAAGGCAGCCAAAGGGATGCCCTGCTCACAGCAGAACCTTATCCCACCACAGACAATACTGAAAGCTACACACTTAGGAACAGTCAGACCACAGATAAGGTCAGACTGGCTGCTACCACCAAATCAACAAAGAGAAAAAAGGACAGGAGGGGCTGAGGGTGGGGGGTGTCACCTGCCTCCTGTTGTCCCAAAGAAAGGTAAAATCTGACATTCCTCTCCAATGCCCGGAGGGCTTTTCAGCAAAACCAAAAAAAGGTTGTCATCAAGTTGGTTCTACTTCTTGGCAACATCGACATCGTGCATGTGTTACAGAGTAGAACTGTTCCACGGGGTTTTCTTGGCAGGCAGGTTACCAGGACTTCCTTCTGGGATGCTGCTGGGTAGATTTGAACCACTAACCTTTGAAGTTAGTCAAGCACAGACCACTGGTACCACCCAGGACAAGGGCCTTATTTTGCAGCCAGAATACAGAACCCATGAGGCCTTGCTACTTAGATTTAACCCTAATTATAACTAGAAGAGAATTGCCCCAAGGAAAGGAAGGAAAATATGCTTCTGGTGGGTTTTTGTTTTTGTTTTTTTGGCTGAGCCAGAGAATAGGTTTCCAAAGCACTAGGCACTCCAACCTCCCCGGGTTTGGCGGGAAAGTTGGTTGTTTAAGGCGGGTGGTCACAGCCAGGGCTGCAACCCAGCTTGTGGAAGAGTGTGGATGCCAACTCAGCACCACCCCCAACCCACTTCGACCTGCCTGGGGTCTGGGTGACACCATCTTTAAGATGGGTGTCACTTTTCGTCTGCACTTCTTGGACACAAGACTAGGTTCCAAGTAGTAAACGCACAGTTTTAAGTCCGCTAAACCAGCCTCCCCTCTTTCGAGAGTCAACCCCCCAAGTAATCTCTGGATTGTTGCAGTTGAGGCGAGTTTGACTCTTAATGACACCATGTGACAGAGTAGAACTGTCCCAGGAGTTTTCTAGGCTGGAATCTTTGCTGGAGCAGATCTCCAGGTCTTAACTCTGCAGAGCCAACTTTTCAGTTAACTGAGCACATTGAGCCATCACGGCTTCTTGTCTCTGGATAACTGAGATGTTCATTTTCTGTGGCCCAGCACTCAGATTGGGGGATGGGGAGGTGTGTGTGATTCACCCAAATGCATGAAAGGGGTCTACCTTTTTTGTTCTTTTTTAATATTTGGCGGCGCCTAAGGGAAGAGTAAAGATCTTTAGAATAAACGCAATGATGTTGGAAGAGCAGGCTCTGGCTGAGGGCACACACACCCTGAACCCCCAACAGGGCAAATGGTGGCAGGGGGCAGGCAGTTCCTGGGTCAGGGCATTCCACCAAATCGGGAAGGACGAACATGCCACGCAAGAAACAAGGAGCTTTGGTCAGGCGGGAAGAGCTGTTCTCCAGCAGCTGGGAGCAGGCCGACCAGGAGCCGGAAGAAGTCTCTATAATAGACAGCCAGATTGGGGTTCACAGAAATACCTGGGAAGGGGCAGCACTCCCCCTCAGAGAACAATACGACTGGGTACTTTTTTTCTCCAACTTAACTGAATGACAAAGTTGAACAAACCACTAGTCTAGAAGGTGCATATTAGTTACAGAGTTAAAAGCAATGTACTGAACATAGGTGATCTGAATCTCTTCACTACAGAAACGCATATACACACATTCACACACACCAAACACATACAGCTCTGAGGGTGTTGGGTTGACAAGACTACTGTACACCATCAGCATCTCAGGTGTGAGTTGTCCCAACATGGGCACTCCAGAAAGAAAGGGGTGGTGGCCCTCCAACTGTGCCCCTCTGCCCAACTCTGCTCACTCTGCTTCCAAATTCCCCAGGATCCAGGCATGATCTCTTGCTCCCCTCCTGGGGCCCTCAGAAAGTGGGAGAGTAACTAGGGACAAAGTATCTCACACCAATGATGTTATCATATGAGAAGATTAAATTCATCAGCGGCTTCTGCACAACGGAAATGGTCTGATTCTCTTAAATGCTGCCAAGTCTGCCCAAGTTTAGTTCAGGGGACGGGAAAGATTTTGGTTGTGGTGCCTCTGCTATATAAGCTGGTGCCTTATGGAGAGCCAGAGGGTGATTTGCTAAAGGGGCAGGGAATAGGGAGCTGACTCCTATAAATCATCGGGAAGGAGGCTGGCCTGAACCTCATCCCCATTCCAGCAGGACTATGTGCTGAAAGTGAGAACAGAAGAACTGGCAGATAGGTTGGGCCAACGGGGCAGGCTCTGGCAGACTGGAGAAGACACATTTCTAGTGGGAGCCGGAAGCCTAGCCCCTCCAACCCCTGCAGGGCACCCAGCTGCCCAGCCATCCCCACCAGCAGCAGCCTTCAGGGAATGTCAGCTGGGCCAGAGTTGCGAGAGGTAGACATTGAGCAGAAACAACACTGAGCTAACACAGGTGCCTGCTGGGAGCGCCTGGCCCCCGGCACAGAGCCCTGGTTGAAAGAGCTGGGACCAGCCTCAGTGACAGCCCCCCAGACTCAGAGATAAGCCCCTGGTAGCCCCCGCCCCTAGTGGTTACAGGCCTGAGCCAGAAGCAAGGGGAAAATGTGGAGGCCAACACCAGAGGTTCAGCAGCAGGAGGGCCCAGGTAGGCCCCAAGGGGCCCTGTCCACCTCAGGAGGACACCCAGGAGGAGGTCATGGGCATACACCAAGCTGAGTAGCCGGTGGACGGGAAGAGAAGACAATAGATTATGCCAAATTTGCATGAACTCCCAGAAGCCTGGGGTCTCAGCTCTAGACTGGCAGGGCCATGAGGGAGAAATCAGTCAGCAGAGCTGTGGGGAGGCGTAACGTCAGTACACTTGGGGGAGGAGGGGGGTCTCTGTCCCTGGGACACAAACCAGCTGAGGTTCTCCAAGAAGCAAGGATGCCTCCCAGAGGTGGGAACACAGCCTCCCTCCTGGCCCACCCAGAATTCCTCTCTGAGACTGGAAGGGGTGGATCACGGGGTCCTCCAAGGAACCCTCAGGCCTGAAAAAAAGCCCAGGGGGCAGATATGCAGGCCAATAAGCCCAGAGTGGGCAGGCTGCACAGCTAGTCCCTCTGGGCCAGACCCCACAACTGTTGCCTCCCAGGGGAGGGCTCCAGGAAGAGGGACGCCTGTCCTCAAGAGCCACTGGACAATGGTGAGAAGACCCAGAAAATGGGGACAATGGACAGACCATCAGCACCAGACCCCCCGCCCGCTGAGGGTCATGGAAACACTGTGAGCATTTGGATGAGCCCTGGGGGGCATCCACTCATTCCCAGAAAGTGGTCACGTTGCCATTGGAGAGCCAAACCCAAATGGTGATCCAGCATGTGACAGGGGCGGGGGGCAGGCACAAACGCCACTTGCCCCTCACTCAGCCTAGAAGCTGTACCTGCAGACAGAAGGCTGTTGACGCTGGGTATGGGGACGGCTCCCTGTCGGGCCTGCCCTGCAT